GGAGGAGGAGGAGGAGGAGGAGGAGGGGGATGAGGCGGATGCGGAGGAGGAGGATGTGAAGGATGAGGATGAGGAGGAGCATGAGGAGGAGGGACGAGGAGACGGGGGCGGAGGAGTAGGAGGAGGATGAGAATGATGATGGTGATGATGATGCTGATGAGGATGCTGATGATGCTGATGATGCTGACAATGCTGATGATGGTGAGGATGAAGATGATGTTGATGCTGATGAGGCTGCTGGTGATGCTGTTGGTGGTGTTGATGATGATGGTGATGATGCTGATGCTGGTGATGATGCCGATGCTGCTGACGGTGCTGGTGGTGGTGGTGGTTGTGATGCTGCTGCTGATTATGATGATGCTCATGGAGGTGTTGGTGGTGTTGATGATGATGATGATGCGTGCTGATTATGATAATGCTGATGCTGCTGATGATGCTGCTGCTGATGAGGATGATGCTGCTGCTGCTGATGATGATGATGATGATGGTGATGTCGATGAGGAGGAGGAGGAGGAGGAGCAAGAACACGAGGGGGATGAGGAGGAGGAGGAGGTTGAGGAGGATGAGGGGGAGGATGAGGAGGATGGGACTGATGACGATGGTGATGATGCTGGTGATGATGATGATGCTGCTGATGATGATGCTGATGCTGCTGATGCTGCTGATGATGATGCTGATGATGACACTGCTGATACTGGTGGTGATGATGATGCTTATTACGCTGATGATGATGCTGAGGCTTATGAAGAGGATGAGGAGGATGAGGAGGAGGGGAATGATGACGATGGTGACGATGATGCTGCTGATGATGCTGAGGATGATGATGCTGTTGATGCTGATGATGGTGGTGATGCTGATGATGGTGGTAATGATGCTGATGCTGATGCCGAGGCTGATGCTGTTGATGATGATGCTGATGCTGTTGATGATGATGCTGGTGCTGCTGTTGCTGATGATGGTGGTGGTGGTGATGGTGTTGATGATGCCTGGTGATGCGTGATGATGATGCTGACGATGCTGGTGATGACGATGATGATGGTGAGATGACGATGATGATGGTTGATTGGTGTGGTAAGGATATGAGGATGGATGTTGATGATGATGATGATGTCGACGATGTCGATGATGATGATGAGCTGATGATGATGATGATGATAGAGGAGGAGGTTGAGGATGAGGATGAGGATGAGGATGAGGTGAGGTATGAGGATGAGGATGAGGATGAGAGATGATGATGAGGATGGGATGAGGATGAGGATGTGATGATGATGCTGATGATGATGATGTGCATGTTGATGATGATGATGATGATGATTGATGTTGAGATGTATGTGATGATGCTGCTTGATGATGATGTGATCTGCGCTGCTGCTTGTGACAACGACGACACGATGAGGAGGAGGAGGAGGAGGTGGGAGGAGGAGGTGGAGGAGGAGGAGGAGGAGGAGGAGGAGGAAGGAGGTGGTGGTGGTGGGGTAGGAGGAAGGAGGAAGAGGTGGTAGGTGGTGGAGGAGGTGGAGGTGGAGTGGATGCGGAGGAGGTGGATGAGGTGTGGAGGAGGAGCAGGGAGGAGAGAGGAGAGGAGTGTGGACGAAGAGGATAGAGGAGGAGGAGGTGGAGGAGGGGGTGGGAGGAGGTGGAGGAGGTGGAGGTGGAGGAGGAGGAGGGGGGTCGGAGGGGGAGGATGGGAGGAGGGGAGGGAGGTGGAGACCGGAGGAGGTGGAGGAGGAGGTGGAAGGAGCGGAGGAGGAGGGAGGAGGAGGAGGAGGAGGAGGAGGAGGAGGAAGGAAAACGGAGGAGGGGGGAAGGGAGGCCGACGATGATGAGCCAGAAGCCGCAGCCGTGGCAGCAGACGCAGCCGCGGCCGCAGTCGCAGCCGTTGCCTCAGCCCTTTGGGCTCGAGAGCGCCAGCGGCCGCGGCTTTGCAGACAGGGCGGGGGCAGCGCCGCAGGGTGCGGGGGTGCGCGCGGCAGCGGCTCGCTTGCCCCAGGCTTTGCGGGGCTGGGTGGGAGCTCCTCCTCCTACTCTTCCTCCTCCTCCTCCTCCTCGTCCGGTTGCTCCTCCTCCTCACCTCCTCCTCCTGCTCCGCCTCCTTCTCCTCCTCCTGCTCCACCCTCTCTTTTTCCTCCTCCTCCTCCTCCTCGGCCTCCTCCTCGTCCTCTTCCTCATCCTCCTACTCCTCCTCCTGCGTGGCGTGGGTGTGGCGACAGTGATGGTAACCGAAGGAAGCAGCTAAGCGCTGGCCCAACCCAATTGGTCCTGCTGCTGCTTCTGGCCACTCTTGGCCAGTTCGGCTCTGCTCCGAGCCTTGGGCCAGAGGCCACGGGAACGACGATTTAGATCAGTTGTCCGACTGCCCGTGACAGCTTCGGCGCACGTCCTTTCGAGTGGAGGGGGAGGGGGAATGGTGAGAACGAGGAGAGCTGCAGGGGGGGGGAGAGGACGACGAGGAGGACAGAAGGGGTGAACGTGCAGCTTACCCTTCCGAGGTACCTTTGCTCCCCCAAACTGGCAGGTTGCACCACCTCGTCCTCACCCTCCCATGTTGTGCGGCGCCTGGGCCCCAGGGAGGTTGGCCGCGCCAGGAGCGTGGGGGAGGGCAGGCGGGTTGGACGCCTGGAGAAGGCTTGCGGTGGTCCCCTTGCCCTCTCCCAATGCACGCAACAGTTTCACAAGACGAAAGCGGATAAGTGGATGGGACCTCGTATCGGAGTTGGTTCTAGATCTAAGGCGAGGGGCAGCATGATGGGTATGTTGATGTTGCGGACGACGACGATGATGTTGAGGCTGTCGTTGTTGTTGGTGTTGGTGTTGGTGTTGGTGTTGTTGTTGCTGCTTGCTGCTGCTGCTGCTGCTGCTGCTGCTGCTGCTGCTGTTGTTGTTGTTGTTGTTGTTGTTGTTGTTGTTGTTGTTGTTGTTGTTGTTGTTGTTGTTGAACATTATTAATTCTAAAGAATAATTATTGTTGGGACCCCTGGTGCACGGCCCCCCTGCGCCGCCTAGGCCGCAGCTACATTTTCATCATTTTCGTGAGGAAGCCTCAGGTAAAACGATGTGATCCAGATCCGGTTGTTTTGTTGTAATCCGTTTTCCCTTGCAAAAAACACTATAAAATGACATTTCTTGTTCTAATATAATCAAATTTCAAGAATCCCTTGCAAAAAATAAGGTAAAGTGGACATTCGCGCGCGCAAGACGAAATCCTTCCAAAAGCTTAGTGTTCGGAGCGATTTTAACATAAAAACATCAAAAAACCAATGGTTTTTCAACAAAAAAATGTCAAAATCTCATCCCGCGCGCTCTTGCGGATTCGTAGGAAACCAACACTTTTTAAACATTTCTGTCAAACGGGCTTTTGCGAGCAACTTTTTCGAACTTCTGCGACAACGGTTGCGCACCTGCCAGGGCCATCATCCCTGTCAAATAATACCATGCGGGACACATTCGTTTTTTCTTCGCGCGCGCACGCCGTCGTCGTCGGCCGCGGGGCCCTGAATAGTAGCCACGGTCGTCCGCATGCCACGAAGTGAAGTGTCCGAACGTCATAGGGCGGGAAGCTGGGTGTGGGTGGTGGCGAAGAGTCGTTTGGAAATTTGGTAGAGCTTGAACCGGCCCCCCCACAAAGTGGGGGTATTGCCCGCCTCCTATGAAAACCCTGGCACTGGTGAGAACGGAGTGTCCCCAGTCTTAAATGATTGTTGTTGTTGTTGTTGTTGTTGTTGTTGTTGTTGTTGTTGAGTTTTCATTTTTGAGTAATTATCGTTGATCCCCCACTGGTGCATACTGTTCTTTCGCAATCAATATGTGCCCCTCGACGCTCGCACCCTGCTTTTTCATTGGGAAAGTCATGATGCTCAAACCGGGCCCCTGGCCCCTGGGTTACAACAACAACGGCTCCCGCCTGAGACTTACCCACAATTTAGCCAGGACCCCCGCTCCCGCCCGAGAATTCCTCGCAGTGTATTCAGGAATCGCGCTCTCGCTTGGGACTTCCTTGCAATCTATTCAGGAATCGCTCTCCCGGCGCTCTGGAGTCGCGCTTTCGCTGGAGAGTTGCTTGCAGTTTACTGACGAATAGCGCCGAATAGCTCCCTTGCGTTGGAATTTCTTGCAATTTACTCAAGCGCCGCGCTCCCGACACCCAGGCACCCAAGAGTCGTGCTCACGCTTAGGACTCCCTCACAGATTACCTAGGAATCGGGATCTCGCTGCCCTTCGTGGCCCCGTTGCAGCCCTTCGTGCCCCCCTCGCTTTGTTTCGTGGCCCCGTTACAGCCCTTCGTGGCCCCCTCGCTTTGATTCGTGGCCCCGTTGCAGCTCTTCGTGGCCTCCGCGCTGCCCTTCGTGGCTCCGTTGCAGCCCTTCGTGGGCCCCCTCGCTTTGTTTCGTGGCCCCGTTGCAGCTCTTCGTGGCCCCCTCGCTGCCCTTCGTGGCCCCGTTGCAGCCCTTCGTGGCCCCGTTGCAGCCCTTCGTGGCCCCCTCGCTCCCCTTCGTGGCCCCGCTGCAGCCCTTCGTGGCCCCCTCGCTGCCCTTCGTGGCCCCATATATGTATGCCCTTCGTGGCCCCCGCTCGTTCGCGCCCGTGGTGGCCCCATATATGCATGCCCTTCGTGGCCCCGCTGTCGCCCTTCGTGGCCCCCTCGCTGTCCTTCGTGGCCCCGTTGCTTCCTTCAGTGGCCCCGTCCTTGCCCTCCGCGGCCCAACATACGTATGCCCTTCGTTGCCCCCGCTCGTTCGCGCCCGTTGTGGCCCCATGTGCATGCCCTTCGTGGCCCCGCCGTCGCCGTTTGTGGCCCCCTCACTGTCCTACGTGGCCCAGTTGCTACCCTCAGTGGCCCCATCGTTGCCTTACGGGGACCGTGCCCCCCCCAGCACGCGCGCAGGGGCGTTCGATTGATTTCGAAATGCGCGCGCAGGAGGCAAGCGTGGTCGCATCTGACGAAGCGGTTGCAGAACATATGGTTTTCTTACGGATTCGCAAGAGCGGGCGCGCAGACTTGTCGTTCGTTTTTTTTAGGCGTGTGTATGTGTATGTGTGTGTGTGTGTGTGCGTTTGCGCGTGTGTGTGTGCGTGTGTGCGTGTGTGTGTGTGTGTGTGTGTGTGCGTGTGTGCGTGTGTGCGTGTGTGCGTGTGTGCGTGTGTGTGCGTGTGCGTGTGCGTGTGCGTGTGCGTGCGTACGTGCGTGCGTGCGTGCGTGCGTGCGTGCGTGCGCGTGTGTGTGTGTGTGGTGTGTGTGTGTGTGTGTGCGTGCGTGCGTGCGTGCGTGCGTGCGTGCGTGCGTGCGTGCGTGCGTGCGTGCGTGCGCGTGTGTGTGTGTGTGTGTGTGTGTGTGTGTGTGTGTGTGTGTGTGTGTGTGTGTGTGTGTGTGTGTGTTTGAGGACTTCATGGCGCAAAACCTAGTGTTATTTGTATGTGTTCGGGACGTTCGATTAGACCCCTTACGAAACCTAAGATTTGTCAGAGATTTCGGCGCACGCGCGTTCCTTTTTTGACAATATATTCGTCCCACCGGCTGAGTTGTGATAAGCGAGTGTGCGCGCATAGTGTTTTTTGCAGTGGATGGTGTCTGTGCGCGTGTGTGCGTGTGTGTGTGTGTGTGTGTGGTCGAACCCGGTGTGGCGTGGATGCTACGAGGTCATGTTTAGAACGATGGGGCTGAATCATTTGTTTTTTGCACATCCTCCCAGGGGGATCGATAATCCCGCCTTCGGGGTGGTGGTTGGTTCCAATAGTCTTGTAAGATCGTAGAATCGATGCTGTGCAATTGATGTGTTGCAATATGTGTGCTGCAGTTTGTATTATGCAATCTCTGTTGTGCACTCTAGTTGGCGACGGGCTGGACGGCGACGAGGCGGCGACGGGGCGGCGACGGCGGTCACTTAACCGCCAGACCGAAGACACGGCCCAGACGACGGGCGGCGACGAGGCGGCGACGGGGCGGCGACGGCGGCCAAATGGCCGCCAAATTGAAGACACGGCCTAGTTCCTTACAGCAGAAGTAAGAATCCCTAGTTGCAAGTATTTTCCGGGTAAGCGGACGTAAGAACCTCTACGTGCAGACACTGTCTGGGGGATTTGTAGGTGTATTTTTTTGTATTTATGTAGACACATATATGCATTTAGGGTTATACATGTATATTGACCTACACAGATTTAGATATACATGTATATTTATACCCTATATATACATATGCATACATACACATATACATATTCACACACACACACACATATATAGAACATCAGGGGGAGGGAGCGGGAGGAGGAGGTGCAAGATGATGAGAACGGAGAGGAGGACGAGGAGGGAGAGGAGGACAATGAGGAGGAGGAGGAAGAGGAGGAGAAGGAGGAGGAGGAGGAGGAGGCGGCGGAGGAGGAGGAGAAGGAGGATGAGGAGGACCTCCCCCGAGCGGCAGGCGGCTGCAACACGTTTGGGCGCGCGGCCGCGTTTGCCGCCCGCTCTGGCACCACTGGGCGGCGCTGGGCGGCATGCGTGCGCCAGGCCCACCCCCCCTCTCCTTCCCTCGTCCTCGTCCTCGTCGCCCTCGTCCTCGTCGTCCTCGTTATTATCCTCATCACCCATCTCATCATCCGTTCTTTCTCACTTCCTCCTTCTTTCTCCGCCTCATCCTCTTCTCTCCTACGTCGTCCTCGTCGTCCTTCCTCCTCCATTCCTCTCTCCTCCTCCTCCTCCTCCTCCTCCTCCTCCTCCTCCTCCTCCTCCTCGTTCCTCCTCCTTTCCCCTCCTAGTCTCATCGCTGTCGTCGTGCCTCCCTCGTCGTCGTCCTCCTCTCCGTCCTGCCTCTCCTCCCCCTCTCCTTCTCCTCCTCGTGCACCCCTCTTGCTTGAACCTAGCTCCTCCCCGTTGCACCGCCGGACGTGCTGGCACGACAGTGCGTGCAGCCGTCTCGCTAAAGACTTCTTGGAAACTGATGATGCAAGTTGGAGCGTTGATGGGCCTGTTTTCCACCACCACCACCACCATAAGTTGGAGGGGGAAGGAGGTGCGAGGATGAGAAGGAGGAGGAGGAGGAGGAGGAGGAGGAGGAGGAGGAGGAGGAGGAGGAGGACCCCCTCCCCCTCCAACTTCTGGTGGTGGCGGTGGAAAACAGGCCCATCAAGCGTTCAACAGCCACACGGGCGGATGGGGGGTATTTGCAGCAGCTGTCTCTCGCCTGAGCGCTGCGCACGGCGATGTTTTTCCCAAATTCTGGCTGTCGCTCGGCGCGAACGCCCGCTTTGTGATTGCATAGCCAGCAGGTCCTCATGGCTACAGGGATGGAGGGTGGTAAACGAGCTCTCGTGTTGGACAGCCTCACATTATGCATGACCCTGCCGCTTGAGATTGCTCACAGCAGCACAGATGGAGGGTGACCCCTTATCCCAAATCCGGCTCTCGCTTGAGGCTTCCTGGCGCTTGCTGACTTCACAGCTTGCAGGCTCCAACGCCTTCACGGACGGCTGGTGGCCCGGAATGGATCTCTCGCCTGGGGCGCCCGTGGATCTTAGGATCACATGGGGTTCCTCCTGAAAAGGATGCGCGGACGGAGAGGCCAGCTCCCTCTCCAGGTCGTGATATCTGGCGTTGCCGCCGCGGACCTTCTCCTCAGCCCCCCCCCCCGCTGCGCGCATGTGGAGGGCGACCCCCTCTCGAGATCGTTGCTTTCCCTCCCCTCCCAGAACACCTGGCCTAGACGCGGACGTTCTCCTCGGGGCCCCTCCCCGCTGCGCGCACATGGAGGGCGACCCCCTCTCAGGATCGTTGATTTCCTCTCCCAGAGCCCAAGAACGCCTGTCCCGCGCAGGAGGCCCCGAACCCATGGAGGGCGACCCCCTCTCAGGCTCGTGGCTTGCCCTTCCCGGAGCCCACGAACGTCTGGCCCGCGCAGGAGGCCCCGGACCCGAAAGTGTTGACGCCTCCTCGCTGCGCGCAGATGGAGGCCGACCCCCTCTCAGGATCGTTGATCTGAGTCGGGCGTGTCCCTCTACAGGGGGAAGATTCAAAAATAGTCAAAAAATAGTCGGGTGACGATTTTTTTTTATTTTTTTTTTTTTATTATTATTACCATTTTGGGGTATGTTTGGTATATTTCTGGGGTCTTTCTAGTTTTTCGCCCAAAATCCCCCCGTAGGGGGACACGCCCGACTTAATCGTTGATTTCCCCTTCCGGAGCCCCGGAACCTCTGGCCCGCGCAGGAGGTCCTGCACCCAAGACAAAGTTTGACGCCTCGTCTCTCCCCTCCGCCGCCCTCCCTCCGCCCGTCTTCCGCTGGCCGGCGGGCCTCCGCCGTTGCTCGGCGGTTCAAAGAAGGGGTCCTGAGGGCTGGGGTGCTAAGGGCGAGGTGCCTCATACACTGGAGATTCGCCCTTGAACCCCTTCCTATCCCCTCAGGGCGCCATCTCTCAGGACCCCACCCTTGAGCCACCGAGCCGTTTTGTACTTCCGCCGGCTTCTCCGCCGGCTTTTCCACCCGGCCTCCGCCGGGGGCGAGACGCCGCGCCGAGGGCGAGGCGGTTTTTTTCCTTGGAGCGCGCCCCGGTCGCAGACGTCCGATATGTCTTGAGCTTCGCAGAAAGTGCGGGCCCTGCCGTGGGGGCCTGGACCTTTCCTGCCTCGAAGCGTTGTTCCTCGGTCGCGTCGCAGCATCATCGTGGAGGCGCACGGCGGCGTATGGTGTGCGCGGGGTCCTCCTTGCGTAGGTTCCTCGGAGCCCTCCTTTCCCGTGGGGTGCCGTTCGTGTGGCAGGCGTGGGCCAGCTCCTCGGACGGGGGACATCATGGGGTGCTTGCCGTGTCGCTGTGGTTTTCCCCTCCCCCCTCTCGCTCCCCCTCTCGCTCCCATCATCGTCCTCCCTTCCTCTTCTCTCTCCCCCTCCCCGTCTCCTTTTTCTCCTCCTCCTCGTGCTTCTCCTCCTATTCTCTTCTTCCCAAGCCCCCCTCCGAAAAGCTCCCCAGAGATTTTGCGGACTCGTCGGGCATTCTCTGTCTCTATCGTTCTCTCTCTCTCTCTGCGATTTCCGATCCGTCCCCTCCCTCTCTGTCTCCTTCCCCCTCGTCCTCCTCTCTCCTCACCCTCCTTCTACTCCTTTTCCTTCTCCTCCTCCTCCTCCTCCTCCTCCCTGGTCGTCGTCGTCGTCGGTCGTCGGTCGTCGGTCGTCGGTCGTCGTCGCCGACGTTGCCGTCGTCGTTGTCGTCTGTCGTCGTCGTCTTCGTCGTCGTCGTCGCCGACGATACCGTTGTCGTCGTCGTCGTCGTCGTCGTCGTCGTCGTCGTCGTCGTCGTCGTCGTCGTCGCCTGTCGTCGTCCGTCGTCCGTCGTCCGTCGTCCGTCGTCCGCCGCCGCCGCCGCCGTCGTCGTCCGTCGTCGTCGTCGTCGTCGTCGTCGTCGTCGTCGTCGTCGTCGTCGTGGACGTCGTCTGTCGTCCGTCGTCCGTCGTCCGTCGTCCGTCGTCGTCGTCGTGGACGTCTCCTTTCGCCGTCGTCGTCGTCGTCGTCGTCGTCGTCGTCGTCGGGGAGGCGTCGTCGTCGTCGTTGCCGTCGTCGTCGCCGTCGTCGTCGTCGTCGTCGTCGTCGTCGTTGTCTTTCGTCGTCCGTCGTCGTCCGTCGTCGTCGTCGTTCGTCGTCGTCGTTGACGTCGCCGTCGTCGACGCTGGTCGTCGTCGTCGTCGTCGTTCGTTGTCGTCGTCCGTCAACGTCGTCCATACTCCGTCGTCGTCGACGTCGTCGACGTCGTTTGTCGTCGTCATCGTCGTTGAACGTTGTTGTCTGTCGTCGTCGTTGTCGTCTGTCGTCGTCGTCGTCGCCTGTCGTCGTTGTCGTCGCCGTTGTGTTCGTCTCCTTTCGTCGTCGTCGTCGCCTGTCGTCGTCGTCCGTCGCCGTCGTCGTGGTCGGTCGTGGTCGTCGTCGTCGGTCGTCGTTTGTCGTCGCCGGTCTTCGTCGTCGTCGTCGACGTCGTCCGTCGTCTGTCGTCGCCTGCGTCGTCGTTGTGGTCGTCGTCGTCGTCGTCCGTCGTTGTCGTCGTCGTCGTCGTCGTCGTCGTGTGGTCGTCGGTCGTCGGTTTTCGTCGTCCGTGGTCGGTCCTTGGTCGTCGGTCGTCGGTCGTCGGTCGTCGTCGTCGTCGTCTGTTGTCGTTGTCGTCGTCGTCCGTCGTCCGTCGTCCGTCGTCGTCGTCGTCGTCGTCGTCTTCGTCGGTCGTCGTCCGTCGTCGCCGACGTTGCCGTCGTCGTCGTCGCCGTCGTCGTCGTCCTCGTCGTCGCCGTCGTCGTCGTCGTCGTCGTCGTCGCCGTCGTCGTCGTCGTCGTCGTCGTTGTCTTTCGTCGTCCGTCGTCCGTTGTCGTCGTCGTCGTCAACGGCGTCGTCGTCGTCGTCCGTGGTTATTTTCGTTGTCGTCGTCGTCCATGGTCGTCGTCGTCGTAGTCGTTGTCGTGGTCGTCGTCGTCGTCCGTCGTCGGTCGTCGTCGTCCGTCGTCGCCGTCGTGTTCGTTTCCTTTCGTCGTCGTCGTCGTTGAGGTCGTCGTCGTCGTCTGTCTTCGTCGTAGTCGTCCGTGTTCCTTCGTAGTTCGTCGCCGTCGTCGTCGTCGTCCGTCGGCGTCGTCGTCGTCGTCGTCATCGTCGTCGCCGTCGTTGTCTTCGTCGTCGTCTGTCGTCGTCGTCGCTTGTCGTGATCGTCGCCTGTCGTCGTCCTCGTGGTCGTGGTCGTCGTCGTCGTCGTCTGTCAACGTTGTCGTCGGTCGTCCGTCGTTGTCGTTGTCGTCGTCGTCGTCGTCGTCGTTGTCGTCTGTCGTCCTCGTCGTCGTTGTCGCCGTCGTCGGCGTCTCCTTTCGTCGTCGTCGTTGTCGTGGTCGTGTTCGATGTCGTCGTCTGTCGTCGTCGTCAGTTGTCGTCGTCGTCGTCTGTCGTAGTCGTCGTCGTCCATCGTCGTCGTCCTCGGTCGTCGTCCTCGGTCGTCGTCTTCGACGTCTGTCGTCGCCGAGGTCGCCTGTCGTCGTCGTCGTCGTCGACGTCTGCCGTCGTCGTCGTCGTCGTCGTCGTCGTCGTCGTCGTCGTCGTCGTCGTCGTCGTCGTCGTCCGTCTTCGTTGTCGTCGCCGTCGTCGCCTGGCGTTGTCGCCTGTCGTCGTCGTCGTCGCCATCGCCGTCGTCGTCGTCGTCCGTCGGCGTCGTCGTCGTCGTCATCGTCGTCGTCGACATCGCCTGTCGTCGTCGTAGTCGCCTGTCTTCCTCGTCGTGGTCGTCGTCGTCGTCCGTCGTCGTCGTCGTCGTCGCTGCCGCCTAGCGTCGTCGTCGTCGTCTGTCGTCGTCGTCGTCTGTCGTCGTTGGCGTCGTCGTCGTCGTCGTCTGTGGTCTTCGTCGCCTGTCGCCTAGCGTCGTCGTTGCCGTCGTCGTCGTCCGTCGTCGTCGTCGTCGTCGCCTGTCGTTGCCGTCGTCGTCGTCGTCGTCGTCGTCGCCTGTCGTCGTCGTCTCGTCGTCGTCCGTGTTCGTCATTGTTTTCGCCGTCGTCGTCGTCGTCGTCGTCGTCGTCGTCGCCTGTCGTCGTCGTCGTCATCGTCGTCGTCGTCGTCGTCGCCTGACGTACTCGTCGTTTTCTTTCGTCGCTTGTCGTCGTCCGTCGTCATCGTCGTCTGTCGTCGTCGTCGTCCTCATCGTCGTCTGTCGTAGTCGTCTTCGTCTGTCGTCGTTGTCAGTCGTCGTCGCCGTCTTCGTCGTCGTCGTCTGTCGTCGTCGTCATAATCAACGTCGTCGTCGTCGTCGTCCGTCGTCGTTGTCGTCATCGTCCGTCTTCGTCGTTGTCCGTCTTCGTCGTCGTCGTCGCCTGTCTAAGTCGTTGCCTGTCGTCCTCCGTCGTCGTCGTAGTCGTCGTCGTCGGCGTCTGTTTCGTCGTTGTCGCCCGTCGTTGTCGTCGTCGTCGTCGTCGTCGCCCGTCCGTCGTCGTCTGTCGTCGTCGTCGTCTGGGGTCGTCGTCGTCGCCCGTCCGTCGTCGTCGTCGTCGTCGTCGTCTGTCGTCGTCGTCGTCTGTCGTCGTCGGTGTCGCCTGTTGTCGTCGTCGTCGTCGTCGTCGTCGTCGTCGTCGCCTGTCGTCGTCGTCGTCGTCGTCGTCCGTCTTTGTCGTCGCCGCCGTCGGGAACTGCGTCGTCGTCGCCTATCGTCGTCGTCGTCAGGGTCGTTGTCGTTGTCAGTCGTCGTCGTCGTCGTCGTCGTCGTCGTCGTTGTCGTCATCGTCGTCGTTTGTGGTCGTCGTCGTCGTCGTCGTCCGTCTGTTGTCGCCTGTGGTCGTCGTCGCCTGTCGTCGTCCGTTGTCGTCGTCGTCGTCCGTCGTCGTCGTCGTCTTGTCGTCGTGGTCGTTTGTCGTCGTCCGTCTTCGCCGTCGTCGTCGTTATCGTTATCGTCGTCGTCGTCGTCCGTCGTCGTCGTCGTCGGCGTCGCCTGTCGTCGTTGTTGTCGTAGTCGTCGTTGTCGTGACTCGTCGTCGTCGTCGTCGTCGTCGTCGTCTGTGGTCGTCGTCGCCTGTCGCCTGTCGTCGTCGTCGCCGTCGTCGTCGTATGTCGTTGTCGTCGTCGTCTTCGTCGTCGTCGTCGTCGTCGTCAGTCGCTTGTCGTCATCGTCGTCTCCGTCGTCTGTGGTTGTTGTCGTCGTGGTCGTCTGTCGCCGTCGTCGCCTGTCGTCGTCGTCGTCGTCGTCGTCGTCGTCCGTCGTCGTCCGTCGTCGTCGTCGTCGGCGCCGGCGTCGGCCGTCGTGGTCGTCGTCGCCGTCGTCGTCGCCGTTCGTCTGAGTCGTCTTTGTCTTTTTCGTCGTCGTCGTCGCCTATCGTCGTCGCCGTTGTCGTCGTCGTCGTTTCTCGTCGTCGTCTGTCGTCGTCGATGTCGTATTCGTCGTCGCCGTCGTCGTCGTCGTCTGTCGTCGCCGTCGTTTGTCGCCTGTCGTCATCGTCGTCGTCGGCGTCTGTGGTCGTCGTCGCCTTCCGTCGTCATCGCCGTCGTCACCTGTCGTCATCGTCGTCGTCGTCGTCGTCGTTGTCGTTGTCGTCGTCGTCAGCGTCTCCTGTCGTCGTCATTGTCGTCGTCGTCGTCGTCGCCTGTCGTCGTCGTCGCCTGTCGTCGTCGTCGCCTGTCGTCGCCGTCGCCGTCGTCGTCGTCGTCGTCTCCTTTCGTCGTCGTCGTGGCCTGTCGTCGTCGTCGTCCGTCGTCTGTCGTCGTCGTCGTCGTCGTCGTTTGTCGCCTGTCGTCATCGTCGTCGTCGTTGTCGTCTGTCGTCGTCGTCGTCGTCTTCGTCGTCGTCGTCGTCGCTTGTCGTCGACGTCGCGTGTCTTCGCCGTCGTCGTCGTCCGTCGTCGTCGTCGTCGTCGATGTCGTCGTCGTCGTCGTCGTCGTCGTCGTCGTCGTCGTCGTCCGTTGACGTCGTTCGTCGTCGTCGTCGTCGTCGTCCGTCGTCGTCGTCGTTGCCTTCCTCGTCGTCGTCATATGTCGTCGTCCGCGTCGTCGTCGTCCTCATCGTCGTCCGTCGTCCGTCGTCCTCGTCTGTCGTCGTCGTCTTCCGTCGTCCGTCGTCGTCGTCGTCGTTTTCGTCGTCGTCTGTCCTCGTCGTCGTCGTCATCGTCGTCGTCGTCGACGTTGCCGTCGTCGCCTGTCGTCGTCGCCTGTCGTTGTCGTCCTTCGTCGTCGTCGTCGTCGTCGTCGCCTGTTGTCGTCTGTCAGCGTCGCCTGTCGTCGTCTGTCAGCGTCGCCTGTCGTCATCTGCGTCGTCGCCGCCGTCGTCGCTTGCCGTCGTCGTTTGTCGTCGTCGTCGGCATCGCCTGTCTTCGTCTTCTTCGTCGTCGTCGTCGTTGTCGTCGTCATCGTCGTCGTCGTGGTCGCATATCGTCATCGTCGTCGTTGTCGTCGTCGTCGTCTTCATCGTCGTCGCCTGTCGTCGTCCGTCATGGTCGTCGTCCGTCGTCGTCGTCGTCGTCGTCGTTGTCGTCCGTCTTCGTCGTTGTCGTTGTCGTGCGTCGTCCGTAGTTGTCGCCGTCGCTTGTCGTCGTCCGTCGACGTCGTCGTCGCCGGCGTCATCGTCGTCGTCGTCGTTGCCTGTCGTCGTCGCCTGTCGTCGTCGTTGTCATCGTCGTCGCCTGTCGTCGTCGTCGTCATCGTCGTGCGTCGTCCGTCGTTGTCGTCGTCTTGTTCGTCGTCCGTCGTCGTCGCCTGTCGTCCGTCGTCGTCGTCGTCGCCTGTGGTCGTCGTCGTCTGTCGTCGTCTGTCGTCGTCGTCGTCGTCGTCGTCGTCGCCTGTCGTCGTCCGTCGTCCGTCGTCGTCGTCCGTCGTCGTCGTCGTCGTCGTCGTCGTCTGTCGTCGTCGTCGTCGTCGCCTGTCGTCGTCCGTCGTCCGTCGTCGTCGTGGTCGTCTGTCGTCCGTCGTCGTGGTCGTCGGCGTCTTCTGTCGTCTTCGTCGTCGTGGTCGTCGCCTGTCGTCGTCCATTGTCGTCGTCGTCGTCGTCGTCGTCGCCTGTCGTCGTCATCGTCGTCCGTCGTCGTCGTCGTCGCTTGTCGTCTGTTGTCGTCCGTCTTCGTCGTCGTCGTTGTCCGTCGTCAGTCGTCGTTGTCGTCGTCGTCGTCGTTGCCTTTCGTCGTCGTCGTCATTCGTCGTCGTCGTCGGCGTTGCCTGTCGTCGTCCGTCGTGGTCGTCGTCCGTCGTCGTCGCTGTCTTTGTCGTCGTCGTCGCTTGTCGTCGTCCGTTGTCGTCATCGTCTGTGTCGTCGTCGTCGTCGGCCATCGTCAGTCGTCGTCGTCGTCGTCCGTCGCTTGTCGTCGTCGTCGTCGTCGTCGTCTGTCGTCCGTCGTCGTCGTCGTCGTCGTGGTCATCCGTCGTCTGTCGTCGTCGTCGTCGTTGTCGCCTGTCGTCTTCCGTCGTCGTCGTCGTCGTCGTCGTCCGTCGTCGTCGTCGTTTTCTCCGTCGTCGTCGTTTGTCGTCGTCTGGCTTCGTCGTCGTCGTCGTCGTCCGTCGTCGTCGTCCTTCTCCGTCGTCGTCGTCGTCGTCGTTTGTCGTCGTCGTCGTCGTCGTCGTCGCCTGTCGTCGTCCGTCTTCGTCGTCGTCGTCGTCGTTGTTGTTGTTGTTGTCGTCGTCGTCCGTCGTCGTCGTCGTCTTTGTCGTCGTCGTCGTCGCATGTCGTCGTTCGTCGTCGTCGTCGTCGTTGTTGTTGTTGTTGTTGTTGTCGTCGTCGTCCGTCGTCGTCGTCGTCTTTGTCGTCGTCGTCGTCGTTTGTCGTCGTCCGTCTTCGTCGTCGTCGTCGTCGTCGTCCGTCGTCCGTCGTCGTGGTCGTCGGCGTCGCCTGTCGTCGTCGTCGTTGTCGTTGTCGTTCGTCGTCGTCGTCGTCGTCTCCTCCGTCGTCGTCGTCGCCTGTCGTCGTCCGTCTTCGTCGTCGTCTTTGTCGTCGTCGTCGTCGTTTGTCGTCGTCGTCGTCGTCGTCGCCCGTCGTCGTCGTGGTCTGGGGCGCAGGCGCGGGCCAGCTGTACTGGCCTGGACGGGGCGCCTACCCCGACCCCTGGTCGCAGTGGCACGCGGAGCACGGCTACGGGAGCCCTCTTCGCCTCGAGGAGGAGGGGGGAGGAGGGCCCGGAGAAGGAAGTGGAGGATAGCCGGGAGGAGAAGGACGTGGACGAGGATGAGGAGGAGAAGGGAGAAGGATATGGATGAGGATATGCAAACGGAGGAGGAGGGGGAGGAGGAACACCGGGAGGAGGAGGACCAGTGTAAACCCACATCGCATCGACGAGGTTGCAAGCAGTTCTCCCTCCAACTCACCCCTTGGAGATCCCTACACTAGCTAGGAGGAGGTCCAGGAGGAGGAGCAACAGGAGGAGGGCGAGGAGGACCACGAGGATGAGGACCAGGAGGGGGAGGGGGAGAGGAGGAGGACCAGAAGGAGGTGGATCAGAATCATGCTGATGGTGAGGATGATGATGATGCTGCTGATGCTGATGCTGATGATGATGATGATGATGATGATGATGAGGATGAGCATGGGGATGAGGATGATGATGATGATGATGATGGTGATGATGATTCATGGTGGTGGTAGTGACTATGTTGATGATGGCAGTAGTGGTGCAGAAGAGGAAGAGGAGGAGAAGGAGGGGGATGAGGAGGAGAGGGGGGAGGAGTAGGACGAGAAGGAATAGGTGGAGGATGAATATGCAGAATGAAGCTGAAACTGAATATGAAGCTGATGATGATGATTAGGCTGCTGCTGATGATGCTGATGATGATGATGGTCATGATTGTGATGATGATGATGATGATGATGATGATGATGATGACGGTGATGATGATGCTGATTAAGACGATGATGATGGAGATGATGATAATGATGATGATGATGATCATAATGACGACGATGATGATTATGATGATTAAGATGACGACGGTGATGATTATGATGATGATGTTGATACTGCTGATACTGATGCTTCTGATGATGATGCCGATGCTGATGGCGGTGGTGATGGTGATGATGCTGATGATACTGATGCTGATGATGGTGATGATAATGGTGATGATGATGATGCTGATGATGATGATGATGATGATGATGCTGGTGACGCTGATGATGAAAATGATGGTGATGATGCTGATGATGATGCTGCTGATGACGATGGTGATGCTGCTGATGATGATGACGATGCTGATGCTGATGCTGCGGATGACGATGGTGATGCTGATTATGATTATGATACTGGTGTTGATTATGATGATGATGCTGATGATGATGACGATGATGATGATGATGACGATGCTGCTGATTAAGATGATGATGCTGATGAAGACGATGCTGCGGATGATGATCATGATGATGATGATGACGATGACGATGTTGATGGCAATGATGCTGTTGACGATGATGATGAGTATGATGATGATGATGATGATGATGATGATGATGATGCTGACGATGCTGCTGACGATGATGATGCTGATGATGCTGATGATGGTGATTTTGATTATGATGATGATGATGATGATGATGATGATGATGATGATGATGATGCTGACGGTGGTGTTGATACGGATGATGTTGATGTTGATGGTGGTGATGCTGATGATGCTGATAATGTCGATGCTGATGATGATGCTGATTCTGGTGATGGAGATGATGATGATGAGGAGGAGGAGGCGGAGGAGGAGGAGGAGGAGGACCAGTTGCAGAAGGCAGATGACCAGGAGAAGAAACAGGAGGAGGATGCGGAGGAGCCGGAGGAGGAGGAGGGAGAGGAGGAGGGAGGAGGAGGAGGAGGAGGACGAGGAGGAGGAGGAGGAGGAGGAGGAGGAGGAGGAGGACGAGGAGGAGGAGGAGGAGGAGGAGGTCCACGGGCTGGGGTGTCCAACACGATTTGGAGGTTCGAATGGTGACCTCGAGATTTGACCAATCGTGTGCCACCCAATCGGTATGGGGGCTGTTGTATATTGGAGAGGGGTGGGTGCAGATGGGTGGGGGGGAGAGGATCATACAGAGGAGATGGAGGAGGATGAGGGGGATATGCAGAAGCAGGAATAGCAGGAAGAGCGGAGCGGGCAGGGGAAGCAACATGAGGATGACGTTCACGACGATGAAGGCATCGGATCCATGCATGCGGCCCGCGCTGGGGTGGGATCGCCATTCGAAGAGGCCGGTGGTGCATGCTCAGATTGCGTTGTGGGGTGCCGAGGAGGAGCACTGGTGGAGCATGAAGATGCTGATGATGACGATGACGATGACGATGATGATGTTGATGCTGATGCTGATTCTGCTGATGACGGGGATGATGATGATGCTGACGACGATGCTGATGATGATGATGATGATGATGATGATGATTAGGATTCCGATTATGATTCTACTGATGCTGATGCTCATGGTGGTGATAATACGTATTATGCAGATGGTGATGGTGATGATGCTGAGGATGAGGAGATGACAGTGATTATGCTGGTGGTGATGATTATGACGACGGTGATGGTGATGATGCTGATGTTGATGTTGATGCTCATGCGGATGATGCTGATGCTGATGATGCTGATGAAGCTGATTAGGATTCCGATGATGATTATACTGATGCTGATGCTCATGGCCGTGATTATACGGATTATGCTGATGGTGATGCTGATGATGATGATGATGAGGAGACGACAGTGATTATGCTGGTGGTGATGCTTATGACGACGGTGATGGTGATGATGCTGATGTTGATGCTGATGCGGATGATGCTGATGCTGATGATGCTGATGATGCTGATGATGAGTATGCTGATGATGACGCTGATGGTGATGCAGCTAATGATGCTGGTCGTGGTTGTGTTGATGATGCTGCGGGTGCTGATGATGAGGATGCTGATGACGATGGTGATGCTACGGGTGATGATGATGCTGCTGCTGTTGATGATGCTGGTCGTGTAAATTTTGATGACGCTGCGGGTGATGATGATGATGCTGATGATGCTGATGATGATGCTGATGCTTGTGATGATGATTATGACGATGATGATGCTGATGCTGATGCTGAGGCTGATAATGGTGACACTGGTGACAATACGGATTATGCTGATGGTGATGGTGATGGTGATGATGATGATGATGAGGAGATGACAGTGATTATGCTGGTGGTGATGCTTATGACGACGGTGATGGTGATGATGCTGATGTTGATGCTGATGCGGATGATGCTGATGCTGATGATGCTGATGATGCTGATGATGAGTATGCTGATGATGACGCTGAAGGTGATGCAGCTAATGATGCTGGTCGTGGTGGTGTTGATGATGCTGCGGGTGCTGATGATGAGGATGCTGATGACGATGGTGATGCTACGGGTGATGGTGATGCTGCTGCTGTTGATGATGCTGGTCGTGTAAGTTTTGATGATGCTGCGGGTGATGATGATGATGATGCTGATGATGCTGATGATGATGATGGTGATGCTGCTGATGATGATGACGATGCTGATGCTTATGCTGCGGATGACGATGTTGATGCTGATTATGATTATGATACTGGTGTTGATTATGATGATGATGCTGATGATGATGCTGATGATGATGATGATGACGATGCTGCTGATTAAGATGTTGATGCTGATGAAGACGATGCTGAGGATGATGATCATGATGATGATGATGACGATGACGATGTTGATGGCAATGATGCTGCTGACGACGATGATGAGTATGATGATGATGGGGCTGATGATGATGATGCTGATGAGGATGATGATTATGCTGCTGACGATGCTGCTGACGATGATGATGCTGATGATGCTGATGATGGTGATTTTGATTATGATGATGATGATGATGATGCTGACGGTGGTGTTGATACGGATGATGTTGATGGTGATGGTGGTGATGTTGATGATGCTGATAATGTTGATGCTGATGATGATGCTGATTCTGGTGATGGAGATGATGATGAGGAGGAGGAGGCGGAGGAGGAGGAGGAGGACCAGTTGCAGAAGGCAGATGACCAGGAGAAGAAACAGGAGGAGGATGCGGAGGAGGCGGAGGAGGAGGAGGGAGAGGAGGAGGGAGGAGGAGGAGGAGGAGGAGGAGGAGGAGGAGGAGGAGGAGGACGACGAGGACGAGGAGGAGGAGGAGGAGGAGGAGGTCCACGGGCTGGGGTGTCCAACACGATTTGGAGGCTCGAACGGTGACCTCGAGATTTGACCAATCGTGTGCCACCAAATCGGTATGGGGGCTGTTGTATATTGGAGAGGGGTGGGTGCAGATGGGTGGGGGGGAGGATCATACAGAGGAGATGGAGGAGGATGAGGGGGATATGCAGAAGCAGGAATAGTAGGAAGAGCGGAGCGGGCAGGGGAAGCAACGTCAGGATGACGTTCACGACGATGACGGCATCGGATCCATTCATGCGGCCCGCGCTGGGGTGGGATCGCCATTCGAAGGGGCCAGTGGTGCATGCTCAGATTGCGTTGTGGGGTGCCGAGGAGGAGCACTGGTGGAGCATGGAGATGCTGATGATGACGATGACGATGACGATGACGATGATGATGTTGATGCTGATGCTGATTCTGCTGATGACGGGGATGATGATGATGATGATGATGATGATGATGATGATGATGATGATGATGCTGACGATGATGCTGATGATGATGATTAGGATTCCGATTATGATTCTACTGATGCTGATGCTCATGGTGGTGATAATACGGATTATGCTGATGGTGATGGTGATGATGATGATGAGGAGGAGATGACAGTGATTATGCTGGTGGTGATGATTATGACGACGGTGATGGTGATGATGCTGATGTTGATGCTGATGCGGATGATGCTGATGCTGATGATGCTGATGAAGCTGATTAGGATTCCGATTATGATTCTACTGATGCTGATGCCCATGGTGGTGATAATACGGATTATGCTGATGCTGATGCTGATGATGATGATGATGAGGAGATGACGGTGATTATGCTGGTGGTGATGATTATGACGACGGTGATGGTGATGATGCTGATGTTGATGCTGATGCGGATGATGCTGATGCTGATGCTGCTGATGATGCTGATGATGAGTATGCTGATGATGACGCTGATGGTGATGCAGCTAATGATGCTGGTCGTGGTGGTGTTGATGATGCTGCGGGTGCTGATGATGAGGATGCTTATGACGATGGTGATGCTACGGGTGATGGTGATGCTGCTGCTGTTGATGATGCTGGTCGTGTAAATTTTGATGACGCTGCGGGTGATGATGATGCTGATGATGCTGATGATGATGCTGATGCTTGTGATGCTGATTATGACGATGATGATGCTGATGCTGATGCTGAGGCTGGTAATGGTGACACGGGTGATATTACGGATTATGTTGATGGTGATGGTGATGATGATGATGATGAGGAGATGACGGTGATTATGCTGGTGGTGATGATTATGACGACGGTGATGGTGATAATGCTGATGTTGATGCTGATGCGGATGATGCTGATGCTGATGATGCTGATGATGCTGATGATGAGTATGCTGATGATGACGCTGATGGTGATGCAGCTAATGATGCTGGTCGTGGTGGTGTTGATGATGCTGCGGGTGCTGATGATGAGGATGCTGATGACGATGGTGATGCTACGGGTGATGGTGATGCTGATGCTGATGATGATGCTGGTCGTGTAAGTTTTGATGATGCTGCGGGTGATGCTGATGATGCTGATGATGATGATGCTGATGATGATGATGATGCTTGTGATGATGATTATGACGATGATGATGCTGATGTTGATGCTGAGGCTGATAATGGTGACACTGGTGATGATGATGCTGGTGTTATTATGATGCTGCTGTTGATGCTGATGATGATGCCGATGGCGATGGTTATGACGATGGTGACGATGATGACGATGCTGATGCTGATGATGATGCTGATGATGCTGATGATGATAGTGATGACGATGAGGAGGGGGATGCTGCTGCTGCTGAGGATGTTGATGTTGATTGTGATGACCATGGTTATGATGATGATGATGATGATGATGCTGATCATGATGAAGATGATGATGGTGATCCCGATGATGATGATGATGATGATGATGATGATGATGATGATGATGATGATGAAATTGACGATGATGATGCTGTTGATGCTGCTGCTGTTGTTTTTGATGGTGATGATGATGCTGATTATGCTGATGCTGATGCTGATTATGTTGATGATGATGATGATGATGATGATGATGATGATGATGATGGTGGTGATGGTGATGATGATGATGATGCTGATGATGATGATGATGATGATGATGATGATGGTGATGGTGATGGTGCTGGTGCTGGTCATGGTGATGGTGATGATGATGGAGGAGGAGGAAGAGGAGGAGGAGGAAGAGGATGCTGCTGCTGCTTCTGACGACGACTGCGTCGACAACGACGAGGGCGAGGGCGAGGACGAGGACGAGGACGAGGGCGAGGATGAGGAGGAGGACGAGGAGGAGGAGGAGGAGGAGGAGGAGGAGGAGGAGGAGGTGGAGACTGGCCTCCTCCCCCCATCCTCCTCTTCCTCCTCCTCCTCCTTCTCCTGCCCCCTCTTCCTCCTCGCTCTCCTCGCTGCTCGTCGTCGCCTCCTCGCCCTCCTCGCTGCCGCTGCCGCCGCCCTCGCCGCCGCCGCCGCGCTTGCCGTCGCCGCCGCCCTCGCCTCCCCCCCGCCGCCGCCGAGGAGGCCCCTGCACCTTCAGGCCGCCGGCGGTGGCCATGGCGGCGGCCCGGGCGGCGGCATGGGCGGCGGCTCGGGGGCGTGCTGCGGCGGCGCGCTGCGGCTGGGCGTGAGCTTGCTGCTGGGCTTCGCGGCGCTGTACGCGCTGCTGGCGCTGCTCGCCAGGCGCGTCCGGCCGGCCGTGTGCCGCGCGGCGCCGCGCGTCGGCGTCGGTGGCGTCGGCATCTCCCCTCCCCTCCCCCCCCGCCCTTCTCTCCCCTCCTCCCCTCCCCTCCTCAGCTTCCTCCCCCCCTCCCCCTCTCCTTCCCCCCTCCTGCTCTTCCTCCTCCTCCTCCTCCTTCTCCTCCTCCTCCATTTCTTTTCTATAAATAACTCCTCCCTGTTGCACCCCGAGGCCGGTCGAAAGGGCGGGCCGGGCGTTTCGCCCACCATCTATGATTTTGAAATTTAAAACAGTAGCGGGTCGCTTCCAAAATGTGGCTCTCGCCTCAGCGCCTCGCACATTCGTTTCAAACATTTGCCAGAGTTTCACGGATGCAGGGCGGGTGGTTTTCAAAATGTGGCTCTCGCCTCAGCGCCGCGTACATTCGTTTCAAACATTTGCCAGAGTTTCACGGATGCAGGGCGGGTGGTTTTCAAAATGTGGCTCTCGCATTAGCGCCGCGCACATTCGTTTTAACAAGTTGCAAGAGCTTCACGGGGTGAGGGCGGGCCGTTTTCAAAATATGGCTCTCGCTTCAGTGCCGCGCACATTCGTTTCAAGCAAATGCAAGAGTTCCACGGATCGAGAGTGGTTCGTTTTCAACATGTGGTTCTCGCTATTGCGCCGCGCGCAATCGTTGTTAACAGTTGCAAGAGTTTCACTGGTTCTCATGGTAAGCATATCCGACATGATCTTGGGGAACGATTCAGGAATGTCAGGGCGCAACAGTTGCGCTGATTCGCGGTGTTGGAGTTCCAGGATTGGTGTATGGGCACGATGCAGGATCGCCAAGACGTGCCAGTCAAGTTAAGTCGTGGCGATGAAGTCCTGAGAATCGTATGCTGGCACGCTTCAGGATCTTCAAACGCTTGTCCTCCTACGAGGCAACTCCCTCAGTGGAAATGAGCCCTTGTAGGGGCTTCGAAAGAGGGAGCTTGGAGGGAGGGTGTATTCCAACATCGTTGATGAGTCTTGGGTTTACAGTGGGCCTCCTCCTCCGCCCTTAATTTTAGTCTCTCATTCTCGCTTCCCCTCCTCCTCCTCCTCGCCCTCCTCCTGATCCTCCTCTCTTCCTCCCGTTTCCTCGCCGTCTCTTGCCTCCTCGTCTCTAGCCTCCTCCAACACGGACATCGTACAGCTGTGTTGCCGACGTAAGGTGAACCGATGGCCGACGATGTTTGATTGATAATCAGACGTTGCGCGTCGGAGCAATAGTGTGCCGGGCGCCAGGGGCTGAAACTGTAAATTTTGGCAGGGTGGGGCTGCAGCAGTTTTTGAAGCGTCCATCTTGGAGAGGGGGGAAGCTTTCCCTGGGGAAGTGGTCTGGATCTCTGTGGCCGCGCGCTGAGACGCAAGAAAGGGCCCCGAGACGGCCCCAAGAGCCCGAACGCCGGAGCCCGAAGCGACAATTCCAGCCTTCCGTACCAACATGTCTGGCCTGCTAGGATTCGGCGAGGACTCTCCAGGGTCCCAAAAGGTTTTTCAGCTGCGTTGGGGGTCTCGGCGTTTCGAGCTTCCGGCGCTCCACGACGTCCCAAGAGGCCCCCCAAGACCGCCCCAAGATGGCCGAAGGGGCCCCCCCAGGAGGGCCCCAAGACGGCCCCAGAGGGGCCCAAGAGCCAGAGCCTGAAGCGATCATTCGAGCCTTCCGCCCCAAGATGCCCCCAGGAGGCCCGAAGAGGCATCCGAAAACACCTCCACGAAAGCCCCGACACACTCAGTTTCCTTGCCCACCGGTTTTTTCAGGGGCTGCCCAGTTGCTTCCCTCTCCGCCTGCCCGCGCTCCACGACGGCCCCCGGGGCCCCGAACGTCGCCCCCAGACGGCCCACGACGCCCCAGGGAGGGTGCCGATACGGCCCCAGAGCGCCCCAAGATGGCCCACGAGGGCCCCGGGACGGCGCCAGAGGGCCCCAGCAACCCGCCCGGAGCGGCCCTCGCGGGAGAACGCGCGCCGGCGAAGGAAGCCTTCTGCCCAAAGAAGCCCACGGGAGGCTTCAAAAGGCCTTCCACGGGGCCTCGAAGACGCCCGACGAGGCCCCACAGAGCATCTCCACGAGGGCCCCACTACACCAGCTTTGTTAATTTTCCTCGGTCGTCCTCCCGTCGATGTTGCACAGCGGCGGTATTCGCTGGAATTGTCACTCCGTGCTTGTCTGTCTGAATCCTCACCACATCTTATGTGTAGGAGGAAGATAGAAAGAGGAGGAGGAGGAGGGGGTGGAGGAGGAGGAGGAGGAGGCCCACGTAACCGTTGCGCCCTGGCAATCCGACATCGTGCTAAAACATTATTTGTGGTATGTGAACACTTCGAGTCCTTGAAGCTGTTGTACACTCTGAAAACGAATGTGCGCGGCGCACGGCGTGAGCCACACTCTTGCAACTGTTTAAGACGAGTGCGCGCGGCGCCAGGGCAGGAACCACGGTCTGCCCTCCATCCGTGAAGCTCATGCAAAGTTTTAAGGCGAATGTGCGCGGCGCCGAGGCGAGAGCCACATTTTGAACACCCGCCCTCCATTCGTGAACCTCTTGCCTCCTTTTTTGAAAACAATAAAACAAAAAACAATGTCCGCGGCGCCAAAGCTAGAACCACATTTTGGAAATCACTTGCTCTCCCTCCGTGAAGCTTTGAAGACGAGTGTGCGCGGCGTTCAGGCGAGAGCCACACCTTGAAACTCACCCGCCTTCCATTCGTAAAGCTGCTGCAAGTTTGAAGCTTCAGGATCACAAGTGGTGAGGAAGTATCCGGCGAAACCCCTGGTCCGCCCTTTCGACCGGTCTCGGGTTGCGACAGGGAGGAACGATTTGTCAGGCATAGGAGCGGAGGAGGAAGGTGAGCAGGTGGGTGGCTGGAGGAGGAGGGGCGACAGGGGAAGAGGAGGACGAGGAGGACCAGTGTAAACCCAAGACGCATCAACGATATTGCAATGAAGCCTCCCTCCAATTTCCTCTTCATAGGCCCACAGAAGGAATCATTTTCATAGAAGGAAGTGCCCTGTTGGAAAACAACCGCTTGAATATCCTGAACCGTGCCAGAACACCATTCCTGGGAGTTCGATGCCGCGAATCACCGTTACTGGTGCGTCTTGACGGTCCTGGATCGTGCCAGAGCGCGGTTCCTGGTACTCTAACACCGCGAATTGACGTAACTGTTTCGCCCTGACAGTCCGACATCGTGCAAACATTCCAAGTGTGAGACGTTGTTCATGAGAACCCTTGAAGCGGTCGTGAGTTCTTGAAACGAATGTGCGCGGTGCATTGGCGAGAGGGACATTTTGAAAAGTAGCCGCCCTCAATCCGTGAAGCTCCTGCAACTGTTTAAAACGAATGCGCGCGGCGCTGAGGCGAGAGCCACATTTTGAAAAACATCCGCCCTCCATCCGTAACATTGATGCACATTTTGTGCTTCGAGCCGTACCAGCTGTGGCTGTGCAAGTGTTTCTTCTACTCTCTCACTCCGCGTTGACAGCAGTAATGCGCGTTGCAATGGACGTCCGTGGGAGGTGTTTGCTGGCGTCAGTTCTGCTCCTCGTTGGCTCTTGCCTTACGATCCTGTTGAAGATCCTCTTTACGCTACAAGGGACTGGACAGGACGGGGAGCAGAAGGCCTTCCACAAACCTTTGTTTTCAGTTATGGCAATGTTTTTTGCAATGCTCATCGTCCTGCCAGCATACCGCATGAAGCAGTGCATGGTTGACGCAGAGCGAGATACGTTCCTTCAGACGTCGAGCAACCAGGGGTCGACAGGCTTGCAGAATCAGGGGTCAAAGTGGCAACATCTGCGGGAAGATACTGCCACGAGCGATTCGAGTGGTGTCAGTGCTTCGGCATGGGAGCAGCATTTGAAACTCGCTATACCGGCCATCTGTGACTTGGTTGTCACTGGCCTCGAGGGAGTAAGTTTGATCATCCTACCCGGCAGTGTATGGCAGATGCTCTCTGGCTCGCTGATCATTTTCACAGCGCTAATAACAGTTACGTTGCTCCAGAGGAAGTTGCACATCCATCATTGGCTTGGTGCTGTGCTAGCCTCCGTGGGCGTGTTGATCATCAGCGTCGCAACCGTTGTCGACTCCAGAGACCGCCAGGACTTCGACGACAACATGCCACCGCCATCAATGATTGCCCTTGGCATCGGAATCGAACTTCTGGCCCAATTGACTGCGGCATTGCAGGATGTCCTTGAAGAGAAGCTTGTGACAGAGCTAGAAATTGACCCGCTAAAGGTAGTAGGCATGGAAGGTGCGTGGGGCTTGTTGATAATAACATGTTTGATCTATCCAGCTTGTTGGTTAATCCCTGGACATGACGTCGATTCTGTTGAGGACCCGGTAGACACATTCTACATGATCAACTCAAGTACTCCCATCCAGCTCGTCTTGATCGTGATGATATTCGTTCTCGCAGCGTACAATGTTCTTCGCATGAATGTAATTAAATTCCTCACAGCGATAATGCTAGCAATGATCTCGGCTTCAAAGGCGATCGCTGTGTGGATTTTTAACATGGGATGGTATCACTTCGTTGACAAAAAGGCTGCGTTCGGCGAAGCATGGTCTAACATGGGTTACTTCAAGGTCATAGGCTTCGCTTTTTTGGTCGCTGGCCAACTTACGTATGGTGGGGACTATCGGTGGTCATGTTTTCATTACCCGCAGGAAATGAATTCAGAAGACGATGGTGAGTAGGAAGGACTTGAGGAGGAACTCGAATTCAAATAGCTGGCGGTGCGCTCCTTCGGAGCACATGCCTGGAGGTGGGAATGATGATGGCCGAGGGAGGAAGGAAGCAGGATGAGAAGGAGGACGAGGAGCGGAGGCGATTCAAATGTAGCCATCATCTTTTGCTCCTCGTGCGGTGGTTTCGCTACCCGTGCCAGGTCAGGTAGAAAGCTTACCGGCCCCGGCGGTTGCAGGAGGGAGGCGTCTGCCGAGCCTGCGCAAGCCAAGGAGGCACCCAGTCCC